ATGCTTATACAGAGTTTAATGGCTACAAAGTGATTAATGACGTGTAGTCCTGGCTACAGGTCGAACGTGCTGAGTTCTACAAGAAAGGTCTTCACAAGTGTCTCAAACATTAAAAGCTGATAAATCTTGGTGGGTGTTATGTGGAGAAAGATTAATAAATATGCCATTTGTCGCGTCTCTCTATCCGCAGGAAATGGATCATGGCAAATCTCTAATAAATGCCCCTGACATTGACACAAACTGATAATTGTTTGTTATTGTATCATTTGCTTGGACGTTCAAAGCCAAATCGCCTGTATTATTTCCAGGGAATCTTTCTTCTACACATGTTATTTTATAAAGATATTACATTTCATTAGGTCAACATTATTTATAATATTTACATCACTAGTATATTACTTACATTTACTTACATATACATCAGAACATCATCTAGAATGCGACGCATGTTTAGTTTAAGGTGGTGGCCCTCACAGAAATGTACCCTATATATATATATATATATATATAGATAGATAGATAGATAGATAGATAGATAGATTTATATATATATATATATAATGGACTCTCCCGTCGAGTTCGACGTATGAGGGTCAGGCCGATAAGTTTCAGGAAACCGACATCCCGACATCGGCACATGAGATTTGTTTATAGTGGTGAAGGCCTCGTGTAGGACCAGCCACACTTTTGAGGATTTGACAGAAACCTGGTGCACCGCATGCCACAAGGTTCCCAAAACGACCCTCCGCAGGTTTTGAATTCAGAGTTGTCCTTCTCCTAGACCAGTTGCCATCCAAGGCTATAGAACCCAGTCTGTCCTTCTATTTTACCCATAGCTGGAGGGAGATGAAGAGGATCTATATCTTTCCCAAGGGTATTAGCACGTAAGTGAATGTAATGGATTCGACTGAATTCGAACTCGGTTTCTTGATTCCTCAATCGGCTTGGATTGAGGATATATATATATATATATATATATATATATATATATATATATATATATATATATATGTGTGTGTGTGTGTGTGTGTGTGTGTGTGTGTGTGTTTGTATAAGTGCAGTATCCGTCAGTATTCCTAAGAACAAGTAATATAATGAAAAACAAAGTTATTTAACAGACGTCCGAATTGATTGCATGTTTGGTTTGGTTTGTTTTACGGCATGTCAACCTCAATGGATCATTTAATGCCAACAACTTTTTTTTTCCTGGTAATATTTTTGTTTTGTCAAAAATCTGTTTCTGTTAATATTTTTTACCTCAAAAATGTATAGCTGGTAATATTATTTTCAAAAACGTATTGCTGGTATCAGCTTCTTCAAAAACCTATTGCTGGTAATAGTTTTTTTAGTTTATTTCTGGTAACAATTTTTTGCAAAGTATTTTCTATTTTTATACCTTATATAATGCTTTTTACCTCAGTTTCGGGGTTAACTATTTGCCTATAGCTGGAACCCTAACAGGTGCTACCACCCTGGGTCAGTGTGGACCTGGGAACACCAGCAATTAAGAGGTGGTTCTACGCTCCTCAAAACCGCCTTGCTGTTGGAATTAGTTTTACCAGGACGCGGATGTAGTTTATTGTCCTACCCAGGACGCGTATGTAGTCCAGAGTTTTGGGATTAACTATTTGCCCATAGCTGGGACCATAACAGGTGCTACCACTCCGGGTCAGTGTGGACCTGGGAATATCAGCAATTAAGAGGTGGTTCCACGCTCCTCATAATTTCCTGATCAGTGGCCTTGCTGTTGGATGTAGTTTATCGTCATACCCAGGACGCGGGTGTAGTTTATCGTCATACCCAGGACGTTTGCATGTTTGGAACCGTTGGTTCGCGTTCCTTTTCGCTATAATGTCTACGAGGGCGACTTTCTAAGAGAGAAAATTGTAAACTGAGGCAATATTAAATCAGGGTATTGAAATAACGAGCACCATCAAACAACGTATCAAAAGGTGATGACCCTATGCAATGTCAGCCAGTCACTCCTGATCATGTAGGCATTGTGGAAGAAAACGTACGACCGACTCCTTTGATCCAAAATTTGATCACCATGATGTTCTTTGTTCACGACCACCAGATAACCTTTGGCTTACATCAACCTTGATATGTACTTAGTTTCCGCTTAGAGACACTTGTCAGCTGCGAGAAGTTCGTTATTTCCAGGTCGCTGTGGCTGGTGTGTTTTTGGACCTTCTGTCAGATTGGACAGCATCATGTTTATGTTCTTGACAAGTATGAACGAAGAACGCATGCTATATAACATTATCTTATATCATCTTCCATTTAAGGACAGCTAATGATCTGTTCCCAAATACCTGATATTCCCACCTCTCTCTCTCTCTCTCTCTCTCTCTCTCTCTCACTCGCCCACACTTTCTGAACCATCTTCAGAGTGGGTATAAGGACATTTAAACAAAGATATTCACCATCGGAGATGATATTTTATGTTGACAAAGAAGATTCCTATGCAACGATAACGATCGCTGAATAGCAGACGCAGTTAGTAAGTTCAAGATGCGGTTTTATGACGTCATAACACGCGAGAAATATTAACGAGAGAATCATATGTCTAGATGCAATGTAATGTGTTGGGACGAGTCTGAAGATGACTCATGTGAGCCGAAAGCATAGATCAAGGACAAACTTAAGAAAAAAAATATCCAAATGTTGGACAAGTTTTGTCTTTATTTAGTCCGAAATTAAAGTAAGTATACGGACATTAGAATATATATAGAGAGATAGATAGATAGATAGATAGATAGATAGATATAGATATATAAACATATATATGTATGTATATACTGACGATCGCAAAAAAAACGAGAAACCAAGAGTCACAAACTCACATCAATCCAACTATGTTAGATCTATCACTGATATTGAGCGCTTTCCAAAAAGTACCGCGCATATATAATATATAAAATAATATACATAATAAATTGCATATATATATATATATATATATATATATATATATATTTCACACACACACACACACACACATATATATATATATAGTGTGTATTTCGGCAGCATTTTTTCATTGATGCCTGTTTCATTAAATAATATGGACAAGTTTTTTCTATTTATTTTACGTAAATTCTTTGATAAGTTTAATAGCATTATCATTAAAAGAAGAAAGAAAATTTCAATATTGATACATATTTTTTAATCCTATCTAAGCTTTCGGCTTACATAAGCCATTATCAAAGATGACATTTACATTACAATATATTAAGCAATACACGGACAAAGCAATAATGATAGTCTGTTTTTGTTTACATGGAAGATTTCCAAGCAACGGCAGACTCGTGCATATAAGACGCTGTGTCCAGGAATTGAACTTAACACTCTTTTGGATCTCACTCAGCAAACACTTTTACCCACTGGGCCATGAGTAAATTTTTGTGACTTATAAACTCAGCAAATTTTTTTACCAGAGCTGATTTTATAATTTTGTATTATTGGTTCCCATATTGTATTCATTTCTATGCTTGGCTGGCTTAGGAGATTTTTGTGGCCGTATACGCTCATTCCTTAAGTTTTCGTATTTTCCAGTGATTGTTTCAACTTTATTCTCCCAGAGAGCAGTGATCTCCCGTTTCCCTGCATGCATGATTTTTATCTTCCCCCTATATATATATATATATATAAACAATTACGATCAAGCGATGGAATGTCCATAAATATTATAGTACTATTAGGGTACTTTTTGTGATGTAATGTGTCCGTTAGTGATTAAGTATAACTCAAGACTTCAATGTTTAGATAAAATAGTATTTAATTACAACTGTAAATAAATGCTTAACAAGAACAAAGAAATAAAAGTCAACCAAAGATAATTAACCATTTCAGTGAATACCTTGTTATTAGCGCAGCTCGGCTTAACGTCCGGTAAATCCTAAATCAAAACCCAAATCATTGACGCACAAGAATTCACACTAATTCGACTGGATAGTTCGACTCAATAGTCACTCAATAATCACCCAGTAATCACGGCAGTCAGTAGCCTGACTCCATTATTATAAATCTGACAGAAAACATATTTATAAGTCCAGAGTGTCACACTCGAACCTCGGTGACGATAGTTAGTCATTTACTTCCTATACGACAGTACTATTCTCAATATTTTTGTCGATTTCAATAATATTGTCTAAATATTTACCTTTTTTCTTCAAATTTCTACTTCTGTCATTATTTTTATAATTGTCAGTTGAAACAATTGTAGTTCTCCAATAGCGACGTCAAGAAATATCACGTTATTTCAGAATTTTCTTTTTTCTTTTGAACTTCCATATTATAAGTCTCTAGTTTATGAAATGGTAAGATTCCCGATTCTCGATTTGACAATTTATTTATTTATTTTTTTGTTTACAATGTCTTGATTGGAATCTTTAGCCTGGAATTAACGACCCATTTGGGTTTCAAAGTCCCTAAGATTTTTTGTCACCGTCTCTTCTATAGAACATATTCTGATTTATGCTTACAGTATTTATCATTACATAATTTATTGAACCGAAAGCATTTGCACAATTCCTACTGAATTCCCGTTCTTAATAAGTCAGATTTATTGTCATTTTTTTTTTCATCTGTGGAAAAAACAAACTGCAGGTCAGAGAAACTATAGTTTGACTTCCCGTATAACGAGTCAAAAGAAACTGTAACCAGAAACTGAGTAAGAAATGGTGAACAAGTAAATGAAATAGTAAGAAAAATAATGTTACCAAGAAAAGGGAAAATTTCCAAGTACGAAGTAAATCTAGTGTTGGCTGCCAGACAAAACCAAACGATCAATACGTCTACACACACATAAGTACGCATCCCCGTGTGTATATATATATATATATATATATATATATATATATATATATATATATATATAAATATATATCGTCAAAAATGAAAGAGAAAGAAAGAAAGAAAGAAAGAAAGAAAGAAAGAAAGAAAGAAAGAAAGGGTCAGTGTGGAATGTAACAAGATATAGAAGGGGAGAATAGAATTTACAAAGAAATTTTACCAAGAAAAACGTTACAGGATGAAGAGCTCCGTGAGAAAGAAAGAAAGAAAGAAAGAGAGAGAGAGAGAGAGAGAGAGAGAGAGGAAGGGAGAATGAGAGAAATGAAGAAAGAAAGAAATAGAAAAAGAAAAAGAGAAAGAGATAAAGAAAGAAAGAGAGAAAGAAAGAAAGAGAAAGAAAGAAAGAAAGAAAGAAAGGGAGAATGAGAGAAAAGAAAAAAGAAAGAAATAGAAAAAGAACAAGAGAAAGAGATAAATAAAGAAAGAGAGAAAGAAAGAACTAGAAAGAGAGAGAAAGGGAGAATGAGAGAAATGAAAAAAGAAAGAAATAGAAAAAGAAAGAAAGACATAAAGAAAGAAAGAGAGAAAGAAAGAAAGAAATAGAAAGAAAGAAAGGGAGAATGAGAGAAATGAAAAAAGAAAGAAACAGAAAGAGAGAGAGACATAAAGAAAGAAAGAGAGGAAGAAAGAAAGAAATAGAGAAAGAAAAGAGAAAGAAAAATAGAAAGAGCGAAAAGCAATAGAGAGAGGTATGCAGAAAAAGAATGTAAAGAAAAGAGGCAGATAGATATTGAAAGACAAAGAGAAAAAAGAAAGAGGTAGATAGATACAGAGAGACAGGAGAGAAGGACAGCAAAAGAAAGAAAGGATAAAAAAGCAAAACAGAGAAGGAGAAAGATATAATTAAGAAGGAAGAAAGAGATAAAGATAAAAAGCAAGAAAGAAAGAACGAGGTAAAAGTTTAAAACTGAATATGACTCATGAGTAAAATCTGCGTCCCTCGAGTACAATAATTAGTCTGTAAAATTCTCATGTGTATTTTTAGAGGTGCTACTTATCGTATCTCCAATATTTTCGCATGACATGCCTGTCATCAAGTTACTCACTATAATAATTGAATCTGCTTAGCTTGGTTTCACCAGAAGTTCACAATTATGTGGCACCCAGTGAGGATCAAATTCCTAGGCTTGCGCTAAAATCCATTCGTCAGCCTAAATGGAAAGTTAGAATGCATATGCTTCCCTCGTACATAGATATAAAAACCTAATTTGCATAACAAGAACTAATAAAGATGCAATAAGAGATAAAGATAAAAAGGGACTTCAAGTGAGGGTGAAAGAGAGGAAATGAAAAAGTGAAAGATAGACATCTAGTTCATGAGAGGCACATAATTAATAATCTTAGAAAATTTCACACTTTTAATAAATATATTTACAATGCGTCCGTGCCTTGAATACAGTTGTCACATTTGTCTGACTTGCAGACTATATATCTCGAGATTCTTGATAAAGTCTAAAGAATTTATACAGTTTTCGGACTTGACCTGGCATCTCGGCCTTGAAGAGAGAAATCAGATTACGAATATTCGTACCATTACCGAAGGCTTTTTTTCCTCTTACCATTGTTCAGTTGGGAAGATAAAATGAGGCTGACACAAAACGATTTTAAACTGTTGTCTTTCTAACTGAATAACTCAAAAGATTTTTCAGTGATTCTTACGATTAATGGTGTCAAGATGGCTAAACGTCTTATCTGAAAACCTGTAAAAAAACATTATGTGGGATGGACAATTATCCCATGCTGTCACACGATTTGGACAATTTTCTGTTACACCCTATATATATATATATATATATATATATATATATATATATATATATATATATATATTATTATTATTATTATTATTATTATTATTATTATACTAATAGTAATACTGGTTGGTAAAAAAAAAACACGGATAGCACAACTTGCAAATATATCAAAACAAGTTGGTACCCGAGGAAAAAATGGGTAAAAATAAAGACGTCGAAACATCCCAACAGGGTGAAAAAAATCGTCCAGTTTCTTTCGTTTTTAGTCCAAAGAAAAAAAACCAAGCGAGCGAGTAATAAATTTAAAACGTAGAGTGCTCAATACACTAAATAGGGAATAAACCCAGATTACTCAGAAGATCCGTTTAGGTGAAACCTAGGTAGGTTGTTCCCGGCTCTTTAGGCTAATTATATATATATATATATATATATATATATATATATATATATATATATATATATATATATACACACACAGTATATATATATATATATATATATATATATATATATATATATACACAGTATATATATATATATATATATATATATATATATATATATATATATATATATATATATATATATATATATATATATACGTGTGTATGTATTTTTAATCATTTCACCCCAAGCAAGATGGAAATGTCACTATTATGCAGAGGGCTACAGACAGTGAAAGTAAGAGAAAAGACTGAGTATAGAGAGGATTGAGGAAAGGAGCAAAGATGAAAGGGACTGAAAAAGATCGCGCTTGACGTTTCATTTAAATATTTGAAGATAATAGTTATCAGCGAAGCAAGTAAACGGAAGAGACTTCTATAGGTGAGAAGTGCGAGAATAGAGATTTTTGGAGTAGAAGTGTCGCTTACATTTAACTATTTCAACAGTAAAAGGGTGGGACCGAGTTGCCAATCTAGTAGCACTCTTAAATTCATGTCGTCGGAGTACCAGGAAAAAAAAGCTCTTCAGAGCAACTGCCAGGAAAATATTTGGAGAAAGGACAGAGAGAAGCCAAGTCACGTCAGTGAGAAAGTGAGTTAAGTTGAATTGCCAAGTCAGGACCGATTACACTGTAGATTCTTCTTTGGATTTTGTCAAGAACCTGGAGATGAATAGCAGGAACACCAGGTCAGATATAGCGCCAATATTCAATGCACGGACAAATGGTAGATTTATAAATGTTCTAAGTGAATACTTACGGGAAAAAAAATTCTGGCACGACAGTATTACAACTTTCCTTGCAGTAGATGCAGCTATTGATTCGATGAAATCGCTCCTCTTCAAGTCATATATGTATATACTAGACTATCCGTTACCTGTTGGGTCACTGACTGTTCAGGTTATGAAACATTGAAGTTGATTTGAACATTTCATTTGAATGAAAGTTAATTTTATTGTGATTCAATTAAATTTTTCAATTCGTTCGTGTCATCATTGATCTGGTTTACACCATCATGTTTAATGTTTTACTGATTGCTTACAGCATTTAATTGAAATAGAACTTCCAGAATAAACTTGGACTTTAAATCAGATTAACTTAAAAAAATATTTTTTTTTAATATGACAAAAATATTTTAAAATCTTATTCACTTCAAAAAATACTTGTAAATAAACCAAAAATATTTTCTTTTAAATATTTAAAATATTGTTTATTTAAAGAATGCTTAAATATAAATAATTACTTTAGAAAGAAACTGGACGAAAGGGCAAAGCGGGATCTCTTTTTGTCTGTTTTTAACTTAAAAATATTTTAATTAAAAAATTGTCTGCTTGAAGAAAGTTAAAATAAAAATATATGCTGTATAAACAACACTTTTTAAAAAAAATTATGCACTTAAATCAGATTAACTTAAATCATTATACGGCGAACGGACGCACCACACAAACATGGACACAGTCACAAACTTCGAGTATTATATATATGACAATCATTTTCTTCTTAATTTTAAATGCATTTCTATAGTAAAAAAACATCATATACATACCGGTAACGCAGTGATTTTACCATAGCTGATAATGATTCCTGACCGGAGCCAGTTGAGCACTTTCCCTAGGAAATTAATCTCTATTTATGAGCGGAAGTAGTTGGGGAGCCTCATGGCCTTGGATTGAGAGGTCTATTGTTTTAAGTTTTAAGGATGAGGCAGTCAAGGCAACTTGGGAGACATCTATATACTTGGAATGCCCTCAATTATCCGTATGGGTTAAGCTAAATATCTGGGCAACTAAATTCTTTAGAAATGGAGATAATATTCCATATAATGCCCAGCAACACTTTTTCTGTGCATACCCGTTTGCTGCGGCGGTTAGCTAATCCCTGCTGCAGACGCCTACTCAGGCATATTTGTGTTTGTCCAATACCTCGATAGCCCACTTCTAGTTTATACTGCAATTGAAGGCGCATAGAGTGACGTGTCCAACAGTTTTTAAACACTCAAGCCATCGGGTTTCGAACGATTTCGTCTCTTCTCTATTTCACTTAGAAAACTTGAGGTTAATATTATCATTTTCAACATTCTTCAAAGCTGCCGCATACTGGGTTTGCTTCACCAGGCCTATAACATTAAGATCACCTTTCTGACAAATCGATTACGATCGGATTCGAACTCTGGTGTCATGATTGGAAAACGAGCTTTTTAATCACCGGACAAGCGCCCGTATAAGCAACCGAGTAAAAATAAAGTCTCATCTTAGATTTAGAATACAGTGGAAAAATACCGACCGAAATAGAAAATTGAGAAATTAAGATGTAAAACTGAATAGATTATCAAGTTATGACTATCAAAACGATCGTCATAATCTGATAAGCCATTCAGTGATAGTGAAAATTGAAGAGAACCGCTAAATTTTGTGCAATAATTTCAGAATATTAGTACAAATAAACCCCCAAACTATGGCGACATTGGGTAGAAAATAAATGTAAAAGTTATGTTAAAAGCAAGAAATATGATAGTATTAGTGTGAATACATCCTCCAGACAATGTCTCCTCTGAGAACTTTTGACAAACACTTAACCAAGTTCCCTTAGCCCGGAATGAGAGAAACTTACTTGTCTGTGGATAAAAATGTCTACACTTTTTAATCCTGAAGTAGATGGACCAATCAAATCACCTGAAATCTTCGCCTCAGTCAAACTTTTACATTTTCTGTTACAAAGTCTGTTCTGACATCGAGTAAATGCTGCTTATAAAACTTTAAATCAATCGATTGCGAAAGCACTTTTTATTTTATTTTATTAACCCTTCTTTTTTATGAATAGATAGGAACAACTCACTTGGAGTTTCAAATAAATTTCATTGACTGCGGTAGTCTTTGTCGCCATTTTAAATTCTGTATCAGTTGAAAATTAAATGAAGTAAGCAGTGTTTCCGTCTTGTTCAACGGCCGATGAACTGATACTGACAGCCATTTTCTTACAAAAGTGTTGAATTACTGGCGAGAGAACGTAGGTATTTGTCGTGATACTAACTATGAATAAAGTCAAATAAAAAAAAAAAAAACTTTATTATTGTTATTTTTATATAAGTTTTGTAAGTGAGTAATATCGATCTCCGAGAGAACTAAAAATATAACCTTATGCTAAAGTTACTGCAGCCCGAGTTTTTTTTGGAGTCAATCATCCATTTTTAACTGAGTTCTGTGTACACGACTACGCTTCACACAAGAACTTGAAGGACTTGAACTAGTGGCATATCAAAATGTCCAATTTTAATAAGGCAATTGCTTATTAACTTTTTCCGTATTAGTTCTCGTTTTTTTCAGTCCAATGTACATTTATGAGAGCAAAAGTGATTCCACTCAAAGTTTGCTACAGAGAAAAAAAAGGCCAGAATTATAAAAGGATGAATTAACACTGTTCTGCAAGAAGTCAGTGCTGAGTAAGAGAAACAAAAGTAAACAGATCTTGAAGAGAGATCGTTTTTCTTCGATCTTGAACTCATGATATATTTGTTACAAAGAAGTTAGTTTGCAACACAGAATCACAATATTCATTTCAAAATAAAATATAAACAGAAAATAATAACCTAATGGTGTTGTCAATGATATAAATTTTATACAAAAACTCTTGTCAATTCGATATACAATTGATGAAGATTGATTGATTGATTTACTGATGAAGATAGGAATGAAAATAAAGCAACAAATATGAGTTTTTTCTAAATACATTTGAGAAATGTATGTTGCAAAATAGAACTTAAACGGGGAATGGACATAAGCCAATTTTCTTTTTTAAAGTTGACTTAATACAAGCCTCGAGAGACCATCAAAGTGTGTGATATAAACATAAGATGAGAAATTAGGAAGAAAATATTACAAGAGTACTGTGGATGGTTAATGATTCAACCTAGACTTGAAGTGATTAAGATTGTACAGTCCGGGGAAGCATCAACGCGGGAGTCTGTTTCACAAAATAGCGCTTCTTGGGAATGATTTTTTACGGCTCATCAACCCTTTGTGGATTATTTAAAGTCAAAAAATATTTTTGTATTGCAAGAAAAATCTTTTTGCATTAGTATTTTTTGGAGACCAACAATAATTTTTCCAGATTTGTTCAACTATTTAATCCATAGCTAGGAGGAGCAGATAAATTCATACATATATCTGAGGAAGAATTGAAAACCATTCATACAATAGCTAGAATTCTGACGACAGTCTTGAGCATTGTGGAAACTTGGCGTCACTTAATTACAAGTGGCACATACCAGTTATTAGTGGACGAAAAAGTCAATGAATACAAATGAAAAATAGTGATTTTTTTTAAACAGACATATTCAAACTCGGACGCTGCAATCTTAAAAAAATGTTGAAATTAAAGAAATAAAGAAAAACTGACAAATCAAAATATGTAGTAAATAAAACGACTTAAAGTTGAAGTAATTAGTTAAAGAAAAAAAACAATTATTGGCATTTCGCAAAATAAGCATTCTTCCAAGAAAGTACAAGAAATTAAATATTAGGTTTGACTCGGATAATTTACGTCATTGTTCGTCAACTTTATTCTTCAAAAAAAAAAAAAAAAGCACAATTCCATTTTATTCAATTATATATTCACCATTATTCACAATGACGTCTTGCCAATTACCAGGCAGCTCTTCGATAACTTTCCAGTAAAATTTCTTTGATTTTTATGTGAGAAAGTTTTCCACAAAATCTTGTATCTGTTTTTCATTGATGAATGTTTTCGCCATCAAAGCGTTTTGCATCGATTAAAGTTTGGTGCAAGTACGAATGTAATAATCAAATAATATCAAAGGTATTAATAAGTTGGTGCAAGGTAAGGCAAATACCATAATTCACCATGTATAATACGTGTTTTTAAAAATAATAAGCAAAATTATGGGTGCGTATTATGCACAGCCACAAAAAAATCTTCAAAAAATTACCGTTTCATAGGTCGATTTCAATTGCGAAATGACTACTCACCACAAAAATACAATAATTTGACACTAACATTCAGTGAATGCGACCCCATAAGGATGATAAATACAATCACATGTACCTAACAGTACTTACAAATGTAAAATAAAATAAGAATTATCATAAAACTAAATTAGAATAATATTATTCTATGTTTAAAACTATTTTTTAGAATAAGAGTAGGAATCGCTAGCCGTAATGAAATTCAAGATAAAATTTATAGAGTTTGATTACTAAAACATGGGTGCATATTATGCGTGATTTGAAGCGTTTTCCTACACTTTCAGCACAATTTTAAGGGTGCGTATTTTGGATGAAGGCATATTATACAGGGGGAATTACGGTATATTGAACCAAGAAAAGCGAATCCCAAGATATATTCTTGTGTTATTCCAGCTCTCGGCCGAATTGCATCGTCGTGAAGAGGAACACTATTTTTCATATTGGCGAACGAATGGCTCATTTCGACCAACCTTTTATAGAGACGTTTCTGCTGCTGGACGTATAATTTTCATCAAGTGTTTAATTGCATGTTAAGCCTTAGAATTCGGACCACCGCTTTACCGGTGGAAGAGAATCTAGCCATCGATTGAACACTGGTTAAATATTACATACAAATTATTTTCGAAATTTGACTCAGGAGCTCGGGCAGAAGTTTAAAATTGTTCAGGAACGCACGGCTCAAAAGGTTAAGATGCATTTTCCTTAAAACGAGAATGTTACTGATCATGAAGAAAGACATCAAAAGAAAGATGGTAGCAACTTTGTGAGTTTGAAAACCAAGAGGAAAATGATAAGCAAAGAACTAGGCTGTTAATTGTGCTAACTCGAAATGTGAAAGATTCCGGCAGAAATAACGTTTTCTTTCATCTTATTTTTCTCGCATTTCTCTTATTAATTTCCAACTTTTTAACAACGTGAAAGATTTGAGACTGTATCTCTTTTACTTAAACACCTATCTTTCTATGGCTTAACCTGCTTGGCGGCGTCAACGTTATCGGCTGACATTTCTCAAATAAACCCTCTACAGCTATAGTGTCCTTATTTCTCTCATTATTAATATCTCTCCATCTTGTTTGTTTATATGCACGCGTAAATGTAACTTTCTAAAAATTGACTTACTCATTTATTTTACCCTCTTGTGGGCCACTTTTTAAAGCAATTGTCTAAAATAATCAACGTGTTATTCTCGCTGCAAACTAATTTCCTAGCTGTCTTTCAAATATAAGACAGCTAATAATCAAGGCTTTTAGATTCGAGCATGCGCAGTGGTTTGCAGCAGGGTGAGCGAGAAATTCGTGAAAGCTTATTAACATAGAGTATTTGGTACGATTATATATATATATATATATATATATATATATATATATATATATATATATATATATATATATATATATATATATATATATATATATATAAATTAAATACATTCTAAATAAAGGAAAATTAATATGCATATTTGTTTACATAGGTGGAGGGGAGGTTGAAAGATCTCAGCCCGAACCACTTTCAACAGAGTTGACCAAATAACCAAACATCGATTTTTAAGAGCTTCTTGTTAGGACTGTTTATAAAACTTAAGAAATGTTTTTTTTTCTTATTCAATTTCAGTCTTTCTCTGTCTATCTATCTATCTATCTATCTATCTATCTATCTATCTATCTATCTCAGTCTAATCATATCTATCTCAGTCTATTCGTATCTATCTATCTATCTATCTATCTATCTATCTATCTATTCCCACTCTGTTTTTATCTATCTATCTATCTATCTATCTATCTATCTATCTATCTATCTATCTATCTATCTATCGATCGATCAGTATCTGATCAACTTCACTTAAGCATCGCTGATCAGGAGTTCGATCATTGATAATTGCTCAAGGAAGATACCCAACACACACACTCTCTCTCCCCCTCCTTCCCTCCCTTCTTTCTGCCTTTAGCTATTTGCAATTCATTTTATGCACAGGTGCACCTTGTAGCCACAGGTGTACATGTGGCAATTCACCTCCCAACACACATTTACAATCGCAACACACACACGCTTATATATACCTTCCGAATACGAAAACAGAGGACAGATATAATGCTCACACATACATACCTATACGCTTACATTACACGCGCAGCAAATACACCAAATAGGAACAACCGATAAACGCAATACATACACTATGCACTATATATACACACACACTATATACACGCGTCGTGAGAAACTTGAAAGACATATTGAATGAAGTTTGTAAGTTTTGAGACTTAATCAATTAGTTGGAAATGACAGAAGCTAATGTTGCAGATGGAAGAAGAGCTTTTCTTTCTTTTCTGACACACATTAAGTCGACGTTTGATGGAAAAATAACAAAACAAAAAAGAAATTAGACGAGCCACTTAGATACTGACTTGGAGTTTTGTTTAATTCGGATCAAGAAAAAACAAAACATAAAAAGTCGACCAGATAAAAAAAACAAGTTCAAATAGCGGATCAGATTTATACAAGGCCCCTCTCTCTCTCTCTCTATTTCTCTCTCTCTCTCTCTCTTCCCCAGTCTCTCTCTCTCTTCCCCAGTCTCTCTCTCTTTTCCCCAGTCTCTCTCTCTCATGCTCTTTTCCTATCTCTCTCTACCGTCTCTATCTCTCTCTTGCTCTTTCTGTCTCTCTCTTTCTTTTGAAGTTTACATTTTCTTTTTAATTCAACCATTACTTTCATTCTATTGCCTATATTTCTTTCTTTCTTTCTTTCTTTCTTTCTTTCTTTCTTTCTTTCTTTCTTTCTTTCTTTCCAAACGCTGTTTCAATTATTCTTTTTTCTTTCTTTTCAAAATAATTCTTTCTTTCTTTCTTTCTTTCTTTCTTTCTTTCTTTCTTTCTTTCTTTCTTTCTTTCTTTCTTTCTTTCTTTCTATTGCCTACATTTCTTTCTTTCTTTTTTTCTTTCTTTCTTTCTTTTGTTTCCAAACGCTATGTTTCAATTATTTATTTATTTATTTATTTATTCGGTCTTTCTTTCGTTCTTGTTTGTCTACAAATCTTCTTTGCACTCTCTTTCTTAGTGTCTATTCTTTCTTTCTTCCAACATGTCGACATTTTGTTCCCATCACTTAGTTTTCTACTCGACTATTAGGAAGTTTGTCACAAAGAAAGCAGATTTCCCTCAATCCGTGCCGCTATCCATTACTCCACCGTGCCTCCAATTTTATTTTATTTTATTTTATTTTATTAAAAAACAAACAAATTATTAACTCAAATCAAATTAAAAAAAAACTCTACTATACATAAAAACCTCATAACTTGAAGACTTAATTAACAATTTTACATGTCACCATATAATTATTCGATATTTTACTGTTAGATATTCATCTTCATATAGATATTTGTATAAAAAAAAACTAGAAAAATAAATTTCTGAAAAATGTTACCAACTAGCGTATAGTTTAAAATGTTATTGTAAATCTTCAAAGCGGTTTTTTATATTTCTTTTCTTTTCTTTTTATTTCTGCATGTACTCTTATAGCTGAGAGCGACAGTGGTTGCTGTCAAGAGGATTTAAGTTCAGCTCTTATTTCTGAAGCAGTTTTCCTTCTATTACTTTTGCGTTCAATAATCAAATGTTTATTTTCAGCGGCAGTTTTCCCTTTTGGTGCTCCAACTTTATTTTTTACTGTCAACATTTGTACCAGTTTCTAACTGCCTTTGGAACCAATATTGCACCCCATGTTTAGAAATCCTCAACTTTTCTGACTTTCAAAATGGCCTTCTTTGAATAAAATTTCAATTTGTGTCCTTAGCTCAATGTCTAGCTGCTTTGATTTTGTCATACTGTGCAAATTACTTCAAAATAAAAAAAAAATCTATGAAAATACTGTCGTAACGGTACAAAGCTTTTTTTTCTTCAAACAGAGACAGCTTCCAAATGGTTTGTTTCCAACATTAGACAGTGATGAGTTAATATTTAGAAACTGTATAAACATTTAACGTAATTGAAAAATATCCAGAGACGGGGGTTAATAGTGAAAAGAAAATATAATGTTTCTCATACAGAAATATTCACAATTTAGTAAAATGTGTTGTGGACGGATTTAAATTTAAACTTTTTGGAAGTAAGTGGAGATCCTGAAGAAAGAATGAAAAATTTACTGTAGTTAATGAAATTTTATCTTTTTCTTGAAAAAATATAATTTTAAGGTATTTTAAAGTAATAGCTCCACAATTTTGTGGCGCATATATATATATATATATATATATATATATATATATATATATATATTGTCCTGATTGTGTTGTCTTCATCTTTATTTATTCTCATATTCACAACATCATGGCCGTTGTACTCTCTGGCCTTCTTCAGGTGATATACGTATAAAGATGAGGACAATGTAAATAGTGTAAATATTTGCAATATCTCATTATATATATATATATATATATATATATATATATATATATATATATATATATATATATATATATAGTTATAAATACAAATATAGGTCACTATACTCGTTTCGGAAAACCTTCCACCTTTTTTTTGTTTTGCCAATTTCTCTGACGATCTGCTTAAGTGAAACCTGGGTAGGTTTGTCGGGCTCACTAGTTTTATCTATATATATATATATATATATATATATATATATTGCAATTTATTATAATAATATTTTCTTTACTTTTGTATTGAGCACTTTTAAAAAATTAAATGCTACGAACTGTGGATTTTTACTCCATCTGTTCTTTTTTCTTTTTTATATATATATATATATATATATATATATATATATATATATATATATATATATATATATATATATATATATATATATGTGTGTGTGTGTGTGTGTGTGTGTGGAAAGAGAGAGTGAGGAGAGAGAGTGAATGAGAGAGAAAGAGAGAGAGAGAGAGAGACATTCCAACCACCTGAACAAGGCCGGAGCGTACAACGGCCGAAACGTTGTAATGAATATGGCAACAAAGATGAGGACAATAGTCCAAATAATGTAAATAGTGTACATAATACTTCATCTCAGAAATATAGACAGATACTGAAAGGCCGAAACGATGTAATAAATATGGCGACAAAGATGAGGACAATAGTCCGAATAATGTAAATAGTGTGCATAATACCTCATCTCAGAAATATAGACAGATACTGAGAGAGAGAGAAAGAGAGAGAGAGATAGAGAGAGAGAGAGAGTTTACCTTTTATGTAAATATGGACACCCGGTGAAAGCACTTGTGTCTATTACGTTACTATCTCAAGTTAGTGGTTTCGGACTGCGAGTGCCCATTGAAATAAAGGGACTGTTTCAAAACGATAGCGTGGTCAGGTGCTTATCTGGATGTTGAGTGCCGCTGGAGATGACCAGCGTTCGGAGTAAAATTTTCTTCCGGTTGTTCGTTTCATTGACTGACATCGAAGTAGTCAACTGGAAGTCAATTGAATGTCCTGACATTTTATAGGTTTCTCAGAAGGATCGTTAACAAAATGAATCAGTCACGTAAAGGAGATGCATTCTCATATAGCGAAAATAAATTTTGCTATATTGCTATAAGATTTTGAATATTGGAAAGAGAGAATATTTCCAGTTTCCAGTTCCCCTTTATAGGCATTAGTATATTCGTGATATACGAACACCTGAACACAAAGAAAGCAAAAATGAGGATGGTTGAAAATGGCTGTAACAGCTACATTTCAACTTATTCTAGAGGCTAAATAAATAATTAAGCAATCAAAGTTAATGAGTAAAAAGTTAACATATAAGATAATATAATAGATACAAATAAGTGCATTCGGATCAAGAATAATTTTTACTCAATAACCTCTAGAAAATGCTTAAATATAACCATCACTTCCTACCCAATCATTTTTAGGATAATAAAACCTGCCACACATAATGCACTAATGGCCAGCATATATAAATATTCTAGTTAAAATACAGCACATATGGCCTGAAGATCGCATTCACGTATGAAACCAACTGTCGCCTTTCGATGATGACATCAGTATCCATTTATACACACATATTTACATTCTCGCTCTCTCTTTTTATATATATATATATATATATATATATATATATATACGTCATGCACCGAAGGCTTAGGGTAGGATCTCTGGGTGATGGCAAATCGGTCGAGTTTCGATAACGGGGCTTGAAGCAATCGGACGTCTTGCCACACTGGAATGCTGTGATACAGTGAAACAGTCTCTCTCTCTCTCTCTCTCTCTCTCTCTCTCTCTCTCTATATATATATATATATATATATATATATATATATATATATATATATATATATATATATATATATATATATATATATATATATATATAGTTTTTAGTATTTTTGTTATTATTTTTAAAAACAGTACTCGATAAAAAGCTGATCCTAAATATAATTATTTATTTATTTAAAATATGATTTTCATCATATATATATATATATATATATATATATATATATATTTACGCTGGAGTAATGGATAGCGTCTCCGATTAAGGATTCCAGTCGAGTTCATTGCATTCGCTTAGGTCCTGATACCACTTAGGAAATGTATAAATCCGTCTCTTCTACCCCCGACCCCAACTATGGATAAATAACAAGATTGAACCTTCTAATAGAAGGACAGGGTAGTTTACGGACCTTCTGGCATACTGGGCACCAGTCCTCTGTATTCGGCTCTTCCCCAAATGTCTTGGACAAAGCTTCACCACTACAATCAGATGATATGACCGGATAGATTTGTTGTTGCTTCTAAGAACTGACCTGCTTGACCTTCATACGTCAAAAACGACGGGAGAGTTCATTATATCTGCTATTATGTGTACACTTTACGTTTTTTCTCTATCTATCTATCTATCTATCTATCTATCTATCTATCTATCTATCTATCTATCTATCTATCCGTAGCTGTCCATAATTACATAATGAATGATTGATCCCTGTTTAATTCAACGATAATGCGTTTTGATCTTTCCAAATCCTAAAATGATGACAGACTGCCTCGAGAAAGCCGCGTTGTGTACCTCGCCTAATCGTCTTTGGAAATTGTCGACGTGACTTGTTTCCTGATTGATTCATCCATGCCTGATGATGAGGAACTGAAATCTCTGCCCTGCCTATGACGGACAATCAACCCTGAATCACCGGGACACACATTTTCGTTGGCAACACAGAACCGATAAAGACTTCATAAATACTTCTTCATACATTCAAAAATACACTAGCACATATATTTGGAGCATTTAAATCAAATTTTGAACTTAATTATAATAAAAACTTTCTTATAAACAAAATACAAACATTTTGACATTCCTTTTAACGGAATGCAATCATTTTAAGAGTGAAACCTGATTTTCCCCTGTTTTTGTTTAAGATGTTTAGCAAAACGTGCGTTCGTTCCAATTGCAACCAAATCCATTCAACGTAGGGGCCCCACGCATACAGGCAACATAATCCAAAAACAGTCCAGATTTTGCAGAAAGGTTAATGTTAATATTTTAGCATATTTCTTTCTTTCTTATAGTATAGTTTTTAATTTATTTATTTTGCATAATTTCTTCGGGTCTAAATTTTATTATCATGTGTTAAAATATCTGCCATACAGATAGTCAATGGAAGAGTGTGGGTGTTTGTGGAGTGACACCAGCAAAAAGCAAATAAATAAATTTAGAATAAAAAAAAATGTGAAAATATAAAATGATAGTTTTTTTCTAGTTTTAAGAAAATAACCTTTTTGATTTTTTAAAGAAGTGATTTTTAAGCCATATTATCAGTCAGTTTCGGGTTGTTTTAGCTTAAGGGAGACTGGACAATTAATTGCAATAAGAGGAATAATGAAATCTGCAGTTTTGGTGCCAGGCGTGATATACACTTAGGCGTTTATGCGTCTTTCGATACATGACTGACGAAGCAGATTTTTTCCCCGCAGTACTTTGCCATTTCTTTCTGCGGTAGACCAATTACCATCCAAGGCTATAGAACCCGGTCTGTCTTACTATTAACCCATACCTGGGGGCTGGGAGAAGAAGGAGAGGATTCATACCTTTCCCAATGGTATTAGCACGTAAGTGAATGCAACGGATTCGACTGGAATTCGAACTCGGCTCTCCGTGTCCTCAGTCGGAGCCGTTATCTATTGCTCCACTGTGCTACATTGTAACTAATCTAAATTAGCGGTTTTCTCACTTTTATTTAGTTTACATAATCTGTTTTTACTCTTGCGATCGGGAGATATTTCTTTGATTCAAAATTTATAATTATTTGTTCAAATATCGAGATCTCTTGTAATTGGTGCCCCAGTATTTTGCAAACTCATAATTAGGCTTAGTGATAATTAAGATGCAAACGCCCAACTTCACCCAAAAGTCGATCGATTCACTCAATAACATCTAATTTAAATTTGTGAAATCAATAAATAAAATATCGAATGGATGTTGTTCTTGGATTAATGAAAGCCAATTCTTTTTCTTTTTTTTTAAGTAGTTATGATTTTTTAAATTCGTTATTGGTTTACCAGCTGGTATTAATAAGAGATCGGGGATAGCAGAATCCTAAGTTCTCTAAGAGTCTCTTCAGTACCGTCTATCATTTCAATTATATTTTTATTGATTTCCAATTCTTCCGTTCTTTTTACAGGGTTCATTTCTTCAATATTCTTCTTTGCCCTGTTCTGGATTGTTTTGTTTTATTTGCAAAGTTCTTCAAGGCTCTCCCATAATCATTTTAGAGTTTTTCGAGGTCATTCCAGCTAATGAATGCTGCAGATTTTAAGGAAGACAATCCTTTATCAGATCATATAGACTAGAACTACAGAATACCAAACAATCCAAAATATTAAAATACCAAAATACCAAAATACCAGATAAAAATACAAAAAATATCCGAATCATTGGAATTTCTTGAAAGATTATCTTCTAAGAGTAATATCAGCTCAAGTGGATAGCACATTAGACGAATAAAGATTGACCTAATCGAGATGAATTTCCACATGACATTAAACAAAAAGTTAGGAAGGCAAGTCTAATCACTACTAGAACGTATTGTAACCTAGGGGAGGCTACTGAATAGAATAATCACACGAAGATTAGTAATGAACGATAATACTTAGGACAAGGAGAAAACATATAAGATTCGCCAGTCAAGTGAATTCCACAATAAATATCCAACAGCAGGATATCTAACAACCGCCCCACGCGATCAGATATGGCACAAGGCCGAGTTTAATGTGGGGCCAAAAAATTCTCCGTAGACCCCGTATAAAACGAGGTCGGGTCGTTGAGACTCTGCCCTTCGACATAGCCTCGTCTGGGATCCTCTCTGCCCGGATGCAGAGAGTTTGACCAGCACAGCTGGAGACGAATTTCTAACTGCAGACCAACATACAGTATTTACTACTTTATTTATGTGAATGGCGGCATAACACTGTTTCTTCAATGAATATTGATTTTTTTTGTATGGAAATGGTGAATCCCATCGATACCTTTATCATTTACTTTGCAAGATTTCATTCTTCCCTACTGTTCATTTCATTACACTGGATTCTTCAAGACTGTTTTAAGCAGGCAACTTTGGTGACCATATTGGCTAACACCAATATTCCACAAAAGTTTTCACTTCTTGCATCGTGTCGATTATTATTATTATTATTATTATTATTATTATTATTATTTCCTGTGACTTTAATTGCATACGCATTTCTTTCCGGGTCCTAAGCAGAGAACTATTCTCGTAAAGATTTTTGAAGGTAGGAGCACACACATTTTATAGTGACAAAATCCCTTCGCAAAATGAGAGCTCTACTTGGAAGTACAAAATTTTTGTACTTTTTTAAGATATGGGCGACCAGGGATCACTTCAATGTGTCTATCATAATGTGTTCCAGTCTGTCGAATCTTCCATATCAATAAGAAAGCACACTCTGTTTTTGCAGTTGTTGTTTTTCGCCGATTATCTTTGATTGTTTTGTCTTTGGTATAGTAAATACTCAAAAAATGCCTATAGGTCATATGTCTGTAACTGGGGTCTGGGTGTTGTTCATACCAATTTCTTGCAGCTTCCGTCAAAGTTGCAAATTTTCCATTGCAGATATTGGTCCATAAAGACATAAAGATTATATGTCAATATATACAATAATTTTACTATTACTGAATATTGATTGCATCGCCCTTCATATTTCAAGAATTGTTAGATTTTCAGAATGATCACTCTGCTTAGTCAATTAATTTCGTTGTTTCAGTGTGTATTGTAAAGCCCCATAAAATTGTTAAAATTAGTATTATTGTTTTTATTTCTTTGGATTTCTGTTGTGTAGTAATTTTTTCCGGGTCCAAATTAGAGACCTAAGGTCAGAAATGGCATCACGATATCTTCTACTGAGTATGTTTGTAAAGCAAGAACTTTCTTTTCGAATGGACTTCGTTTTCAGCCATCGTGGATGACAGAAGGCACCTTTCTTGTAATATCTGCATAGACAAACAACGCAGCTTTCAAATTTATAAATTTGGCGTTACAGAGCCCAAGACTCCGGTGATAACTGGTACAATAGTGGCCTGAACGTCCCACATTCTTGCAACTTCAGTTTAGAATTCGGTGTATATCGAGTTTTGACGCTGTCAAAGATAATTATTCTTCTTTGTCACCGACAGTGATAACGGGATTGTTCCCCCCAAGATGACAGTTCTTTTTTAAAATAATTTCACATCAAACAAGGCGATGATGCCACTAAGATACAAGAGGTTTTTAGAAGTGGAAGAGAATGAGAAGAATTTGTGAGGAGAAAGGACAATAAAAGAATAGGTTTCAGTAAGACCGAAGATCGCGATTGACGTTGCATTTGAACATTTGAAGGTGGCAAGGATACAAGAAATGAGAAGAGAGTTTTACAAGTGAGAAGTGCGAGAAAAAACATTTAGAATATAACTTAAGGTTCTATTTAACGATTTCAACTCTAACATGATGAGACCTACAGTTAGCGACGAAATTATTCGTACCCCCATCAATTTTGAATATTTTTATCCTTTTCAGACTCTAATGTTCGTACGATACCAGGTTTTTTTTATATGTTAATAAGCACAAAAAGGAACTTAAAACTCTATTTTCAGAACAATTTTTCTTACAGTATGAAAAATTGAAAAAAAAATGAGGAGTTTTCACAATATTAATAGTCAATAGTATTGACTCTCATTTTTATAACTTGCTGTAATCGTTTTCTTAAGTTTTTGATGAGATTTAAACAAGTCTTTGCTGGGATTGTCGTCCATTCTTCAATGGTTACGCGTTCTAATTTCTAAAGGTATTTTGGTGACCGACGATTTAATCGAACTTTCAATTTTTGCCATAGATTTATAATAGGATTCACATCTGACTCATTGAAGGCCATAGCAGAACTGTAATCTACTTTTTCTGAAGCCACGTAGTTACTGATTTAGGTGTATGTTTGGGATCATTATCTTGCTGGAAAGTAAATCGCCGACGACCTAGATGAAGATTTTTGCGCTGATAATTGTAGATTTCCATCCTGAATTTCGATATAGTCTGCAGATTTCATTATTTCACTTATTGCAAGTAATTGTCCAGTTTCGCTTAAGCTAAAACAACCCTAAAACATCATCTTGTCGCCTCCTTATTTTAATGTTGCCACTGTGTTCTTTGAGAGGAAAGCCTCACCTTTCTCGCGCCAAATCTTCTGTACATCATTATGTCCCAAAAGTTCAATTTTTCTTTCATTATTTCATAGTACTTGTTCCCCAAATCAAATTTCCTTGTTCAAGAACATATTGGCAAAATTAAAACGAGCAACAATGTGACATGATTTTTGAAGAGGGGGGGGGTCGTCGTGGTCGATTTCCATACAACCCATTTTATTTAAAAAAACATTTTATTCTGCGAGTACTTACGCTTATACCCATCGTATTCAAATCTTCGGCGATCTCTTTCCAAAGAACTCTTGGGGTTATATTAACCACGCGACACAGCTTTCCTGCAGTTCTCGGTAGCAATTTGGGTTTTCTTCCAAGCCAGGCTAATTTTATGTCGTTCTAAACTGCTTAAACTTCTTTACGAGCTCTATCGTAGATCTAGGGATAGCTAACTCGTTTGACATAGCGCTGTAACTATTTTCCGACTTGTGGAAATTAATTATTCTCTGTCTCAAGTCAACGCTAAGCTCATTTGTCTTCTCATGGTAAGAATAACAATTGTGACACTCTATGTGCCACATGATGTTCTTTGCTGGAATTATTGCAAATATTCTACTGAATAAATAGTCTAAAAGGCTTCACCAATGAAATGATTATGTAAATTACTTATACTAACACGAATCAATCAATTTAAAAGCGATATAATCTCCTGTACGAATAATTTTGTCTTTTCTTATTTTGCATAATTCGTCTGTCAAATTTTGTTGCGTTTAATGTATTCTTCTGAAAATCAATCAATTTTCAATGCATCTGCTATTTTCACTGGTGCTCTAACTGCATGAATTTAAGCCTTCTACTAGGTTGGCATTTCGGTCCCACCCTTTCACTGCCGAAACATTTAAACTTAACCGCCTCTTCTACTCCAATATTTTTTCAGCTTCTTCTCTCGCACTTTCCGACAGTAGAACTCCCTTCCTCTTGCTTCCCTGATAACTACAATCGTCAAAAATGTAAATGTAAGGGCTGTTGCGTTGATCTTGATGCCCGCCCTTCTCTTTATCCTTTCTTCAAACATCCCTCTTTTCTATTACTCTAATTTTCTGTAACCCCTTGCGTGCTCGTGGCACTGCCAATTTGTTTGGGGGTGAAATACTTAAAAAAATGCACGTTTTAATAGTTCCTTGTTTTTCTAAAGCACTCGACATTTTTACCGTTCTGCTTAAGTCAACTGACTTTTGGCATTGCTAGATATTTTATCATTTTCTTCACTGTTGAGTGTTTTCATTATTTTTAGTTATCTTCTGATGTCTTCTGCTATTTTTGCTTCCAACGCCTGCATAACCAGCATGGATTTGCATCATTGCAACAGTTGTATCTGCAGGTTGCCTCAAAAGAATTTATATAGCAGCAAGTGTCTGGCAGTCCTCGGAATTCTTAAGGTCTTAAGAGACGCAATGCTTCCGGCGATAAAGAAATTTTCTAATCTCACCTTCTGGCGCCAACTCTCACGGATATGACTTCATGACTTCTTCACTTCCACGGAGAGCATTTATTATTTCAGTTTTTTTTTCTTTTTTCACCTTTTTGTATGATGATAAAAACACGTTTACGATCTGGAAATATTACTTTTCCTTACTTGAATTATTTACATTATTCTGACTGTTATCCTCATCTTCATTGCCATATTCATAACGCTTCGGTCGTTGTACACTCCGGCCTTCTTCAGGTTATGGGAATTTCGAGCCAAAACCTTTATTTCGACCACCGGTAGATTGGGTTGTTCTAGTTCCACGTGCCATACCGCTTGCATATGTCTCAGTTATTTCCCTTTAACCCAATTCTTCACAATTTGGTTCGCTACTATTGTAGCCTTGCATTAAACTCACAATTCTTTGGGGCCAGTCACTGGATCTAACCAACGTCTTTATCCATTGAGTTTTGAATATGGCAATGAAGATGAGGATAACAGTCCGAATAATGTAAAAAATGCAAGTAATCATAATACCTCAGATACAGACAGTTACTTTCTCTTGATCAAAAGAACAAGCTCCATATTGGTGAGGTTGTCGGTTTCGATCTCAAAGTCCCGGAACATATGCTTGATTTTTTTTTTAGGAAGGTTTCTAGATTTTGCTATTACCATTCATGTATATAATTGAATCTTCCTCGTTGATTTTGTGCTATATGTCAGTACTTTTCTACTCATCATCTTTGTTTTCGTCTTCGTTTTTCGGGTTAGTCAATTTTTGCTTCGATACAAACAAGCCCCAATTAAATTGAGCTAGGCTGAAACAAAACCTCGTTTTTCTTTTCAGGTATCCACTGCATAACCATGACTAGATTCTTTTTCAAACAGTGAGAGTTTTTCTCTTCCATTTTTATTTCTTCGTTTTATTCAATATTTTGTCTTTCTTCTTTCCCTTTTAAGTCACACGGGATTTTTTCAATTACTTGCCATGATCCTCCAGGTTGTGTAGATTTTTCAAATCGTTTTTTACAGCCTTAACACAGTCGTTGATGTGGATTAGATCTATTCTCCTTTTCAAATGACATGTAAACGGGCATCATCACTTGTAGGTGAGAGAGCCTAATGTCAAATGATTAATTCCTGATCAATTGATATAGCAATTTCAATTCTTGTCTAGCCTAGGAAGGACACTGTGTATCTAACTCATAATTCTGCATACGTGGACACAGAGTTAAATTTCTATAGTTGATTTTTTACTTATAATACTTACTTAATCTCTTGAGGTATTACTTTCATGTTAGTTCAGTTCTATTTTGTGGTCATATTTAAATATTTCAAGTTGTAATATGTAGCTGTCAATTATTACCCTTATATTAATTGATTTATTATCCTGCTGTTCAATGCTGTTTATTGCTACATGTTTACCTTTATGTTCTACAATTTTCTGTGCCGTATTAAAAATTAATATCATCATTAAAATCAGTGATGTAAACAATGTTCCCAGTTTACTTGTTGTTATTTGCATATAATTTGAAAGATTATTAATTATTAACACATTAATTTTTATATGACTGACTTGTGAATATGTAAATTTATATCCTTCTTTGCAATTCAGTGATATGGATTTCACGAATGGGAACAGAACTGATTATTGATATTTAACCCTGTTAGAGATTCTGCCTCAACTATCAGAATGCCCTGTCGACAGGGGCTTCAGAATACGCCAACTGCACCTCTGCAGGTGGGTAAGACCGTCACCAATGAGGCGTCTTAGGTATGACGATAAACTACACCCGCGTCCTGGATATGACTACATCCGACAGCAAGGCTTTTGATCAGGAGGTTTTGAGTCGCGTCGAAGCAACTCTTAATTTCTGGTATTTCTAGTTCCACCCTGATTCATAAGAATGTCAGACGCAGATTTGAACATTTACTGTATGTCAGTGACCGACAGAGACATATAAGCAGGCGGTTGGAATGTGCACACCAGATGACATATAGGTATATATGCAGTTCATCATAGAAGAAAAAGATACAACTTCTCTTACACCCCTGCGAGAAGAAGATTCCAGAAGAAGATTTAGAGTGCCCACCTTTAAAGCTGCGCCCTTACCCCCATCTTAACCGATGAATAAGCAATAATTCTAATTTTAAGATATTTATTCTCGAGTTCTTACTAGTTTGTGCAAGGATAACATTCCACTAGTAAAGACCAAACTTACCAACATTTTCCTGTTAATGTATGGCTAACGTGCAATAAATATTGCTTACCATCGCTTAGTATAAGTTTGTAATATAATGCGAAAGTAGACATTGGACGCAATGTCACACCAAGCCATTACCGAAGTCGTTTGTAACCGGATCACACCTGAGATCAATCTGGGCGCTGATAACTGATATCTGCATCTGGTATTATAAACATGAGAACAAGAATGATAGACAGATAGACATATAAGCAACAGTCTTGATCTGGACAGTCTTTCAGACTACACAACCGGAAACATTAAAGACGATATTCGGTTCAGGACTCTACGGCGACGTATAATAACTGACCGAGCGTAGATATCAAAGTCAAGAGTTGAATATAATGCAATGTTAAGTAATGAATATTCAGATATCTTATTATTTTTCTCGTGAGAGCCGCGCTACAGCACCTAGTGAGGATCGAAGTCAGAAGAGTGAACTTCGTGATTTCACCTGATAAACACTGTGGCAGTCATGTTTTTCTTTTGAAATCTTTCACTGTTTATTGGTGTTTGTGAAGTGAATTGCTGGTTAATATAGTGACAAGATTGCTTGTAAAAAAAGATTTTTACGGTTCTGTGCTTCCATCTCGAAAAAGTACCAATATAAAAAGAAAAAAATAACTCACCGGAAATAACCAAAAAAAAAAAAAAAAGTAAAAAAAACTCCACAGATTTACGTCAAATGTAAGCGCTGGTTTTGTCAAATAGAGGAACGCCTGACTTACCTGAAATAAAGACAAAAAATATATGTAAATAAAACCAGTTTTATTAAAGCAAACTAGAAAAAAACAAAACAAAACAAAAAAAAAAAACGAAAAAAAAGAAACAGGACGATGACATATTAAAAAGAACGTGCACGGAACAATTTTTTTTTCCAAACGCCAAAAGAGTTCCCGCAAAACAAGATTATTTTTCGTTTAAGAATCGCAAATTAAAAAAGATATCACAGTATAAAGAGGTGGTGGGGGAGGCAGAGAGAAAGAGAGAGAGAAAGAGAGAACCGGATGGAGAAATATAGGAAGAGAAAAGTAAAAAAAGAAAAAAGAAAAGAAAGAATAACAAGAACAATAAAAAGAAATAGAGAAAAGAGAAAAAACCGAAAAGAGATATGGAAAGAAAAGAAAAGTAAAAACAAGAATAGAACCAAAGGAATGGCAGAATTTTGAAAATGAAATTCATATGAGGTTCATGCTACTGTGCATGCTTTTCGCAAAGATGTCTATTATTTAGAGAATGATTACACGCTTTCGTGCATGACCGTGAGAGGAAGTTTTGGCAAATGTATGCCAGTTGGGAAAGATTCAGACTCTGTTCTGCCTTTTAAAAGCAAAATAATTGACGAGAAATAAAAATTCGTATAGATTTCGCATAAAATATTTCTAAGCACTAGCAGATTCTCCAAAACACAGCAGCGATAATAATCAATCAATATATCTATCTATTCGATGTAAGTTTATTCATAATATCTATCTATCTGAGTACTTTCATATCTATCTATCTATCTATCTATCTATCTATCTATCTGTGTGCTTTTATATCTATCTATCTATGACAGTCTACATATCTATTCTAGTCTATTCATATCTACCTCAATTTATTTATATCTATCTCAGAGTATTCATATCTATTTCTTTTGCATTCATAACAACTGCATATGCAGCATTTTGGAAAGAAAACAGTCTATTGAGTCATAAAATAAAATTTCTTAATGCTAATTAGTTTCCGTTTTGTTTGGCGTCACTGAAAAGCAGAATAGTCAAATGGCGTCTTTCATTCTCAGTCAATAAATATATATTTATCTATGTCAGTCAACTGCTATCTATATTTTTATCGTAATTTGTGTCTCTTTCTCGCCCCATTCATATCTCAGTATATTCATATCTATCTATCTATCTATCTATCTATCTATCTATCTATCTATCTATCTATCTATCTATCTATCTATCTATCCCAGTCTGCTAATATCTATCTATCTATCTATCTATCTATCTATCTATCTATCCCAGTCTGCTAATATCTATCTATCTATCTATCTATCTATCTATCTATCTATCTATCTATCTATCTATCTATCTATCCCAGTCTGCTAATATCTATCTATCTATCTATCTATCTATCTATCTATCTATCTATCTATCTATCTATCTATCCCAGTCTGCTAATATCTATCTATCTATCTATCTATCTATCTATCTATCTATCTATCTATCTATCTATCCCAGTCTGCTAATATCTATCTATCTATCTATCTATCTATCTATCTATCTATCTATCTATCTATCTATCTATCTATCTATCCCAGTCTGCTAATATCTATCTATCTATCTATCTATCTATCTATCTATCTATCTATCTATCCCAGTCTGCTAATATCTATCTATCTATCTATCTATCTATCTATCTATCTATCTATCTATCTATCTATCTATCTATCTATCTATGCATCCATAGCATCCCCTGCATGTACATTTGAAAAGAAAATCTTTCTCATTTCTAATCTTATTCCTCATCTTTTAATTTTCTTTTTTTTTTGTTATCGTCATTAAATTGTCTATTTTTTTGCGGAATATATCAACCAATATGCATATTTCTTGATTTTTTTCCTAAGTATTTTTTTAAAATTCCTATAATTTGTCTGAAATGATTTTGCGTTATTTTCACTGAATTTATGATAATTGTTCGGAAGAAAATGTCATTTTTTAAGAAGCATTGTTGCCGCAAAATGGTCCGTATACCAAATAACAGCACATTCTAGAAAGGATTAGCTTCCCTACGGCCCGGTATTACAGATATTAGTAGGATTAAATTAACCAAAAGAACAATACAAATGCAGAAGTTTATCGACCTGGTTCTACAGAATGATGCTAAGGATATCATAAAACCGCGCATGTGAGTAACGAATGTCGGACGATTTTCTCAAAAAAGGAAGAAGAGATTCGAGGCGACGGAGATGTAGTTCTACAGAAGGATGCTGAGGATATCATGGAACGAGCATGTGAGCAACGATGATGTCTTAGAGAGGTTAAAAACAAGGAGATGGCTTATACTTAACATCAGAAAGAGACAGCTGAAGTTTCTGGGGCACATAATGAGGAAGGAGGGCCTGGTGAATCTGATACTCACGAGTCAAATAGAGGGAAAGAGAGACAAGGGAAAGCTGCGCGTGACATACCTGACGTGCTTGAGCAGGTGGATGACAGAACGTGGTCAGGGGTGGGGAGGAAGCAGAGGGAAGGAAGTATCCGAGAGATGCAAGGGATAGAAGGAGGTGGAGAGCCATGATCGCCAACGTCCTGAAAGGACATGACACATAAAAAAGAAAAAAAAAACATTTGATAATGTACGTCCCAAAGTACTGTTCAATACATATTTTGGAAGGATATTAGAATAATCCAGAACCTATACTTAAAGTGAACCACCTGAATATGGATAGAAAATGAATTTAGTAAATATAGAAAAAATAGAAAGGGGCGTGAGACAAGGTTGCGTCTTCTCACCGGACTTATTCATCCAGCGAGGCGATTCTGAGACAATTAGATATCCTTTCAGGATTTAATATTGGCGGTCACAACAAAAGATACGCAGATGATATCGGTTCTGTTGCTGTGGCAACAGACAAAAATTGGCAGGGTGAAGCCACTCGGCACAGAATGACCTTTAACTGCGTCGCGCGTAAAGTATAACGTTCTCGCTCAATTCCGTTGTTTATAGTGGTGCTTGGAAGGAAAGTGTGTAGAGTGTGCTCGTCTTATTACATCACAAAGGTTCCACCAGTGACCACGGCTTGTGCAGCAGTTTCTGCCAAGGTCAACATTCCCCAGCTCTAATAACCACCATATTCCACTGTAACATTTCCTCTTCAAAAACCAAATTCCACTTGAAATGAAGATTTCAAGACAGCGAGGCAATGCAAGAGAATGTGACGTGACCGCTGCTCTCTATCCCAAAAAGGAGTTCCAGGAATGCTTCCATCATTGTTAAGAACGTTGGATAAATCGTGGTTTCAAAAGGGGACTTCCTCGAAGCAGATTAAATGCTGAATTAACGTGTATTTTAGTTTTCTTTTTATAACACATATCCCGATACTTTTTGATCAGACCTCATACATTTACACACATACTCATTGACCGGCTAATATACGACTTCCTGTAGATCTTAACAGTCACGAAAATACACATATGCATATATAGGTAGATACAGTATCTTTCTGTCCCAATCTTTGTTTTGCATGTGGATACGAATTTGTTTTCATGTGGATGCGTTTGTCATGCTGATTGATTGGAAAACTTTCCGACGAAGTACAATGTTACATTCAAACCACTTTTATGACAAGACAAATAAATAAATGCCAGAAACTCTTTGATTGACAAATACTGACAGAAAAACCTCTATACAGACAGCTTCAGAGCATTCATCTGAATTCACTTATTGTAATCGCTTTTTCTGTCCCGTCGTAAGCAGACAGTAAAAAACACCCTAAAACGGCACTTTTGACGCATACGAGGTATATTCCAGAAGTTTTGAAACTTTCTTCACAAGCGATATTTATTAATTCCAGAGATGAGCAACACTCTAGTTTCCTTCAAGGTAGAATACTCTGATTTGAATGCACTTTGTAGCGTTCCTGCCACTCCGTGACGACCCCATGGACGTCATCCAAAATTAAACTGTCCAAGACACTTGGGACAGCCTCCTTTATATTCCAAATGTTTTCAAAGCAACTGCCCCTTAGGTTAATATTCAGCTTGTGGAACTACCAAAAGTCAAAGAGAGCATGAGCTGGTTTGTAGCGGGCGACGAGTTGGAACAGTTTTGATGCAGATTCCTGATAACACAAAACTTTTTTGCATCACGAGCATCCAAACTGTCTTCATGTCGAGAATGCATTCTTTAAACTAGTCAGGTGTTTTTAGATTCTGATCAAAGAGCTGTTACAACCGTCTACTTCAGTCTGGAATAAAAAAAAATGGGCAGATTAACTAAAATTACGCTAATTAAGAACAATTATAATTGTCTCTCTAAAAATAAAATCAATGAACCTTATTTCTTCAATGCTTTTCCGGACAATACATCGAGAATTTTCGTTATTCCTGTGTGTTTTACCCTAAATTTATTCAACATCAAATTCTGTCTCTTTCTTGAAATGTTTCCCATTTTCAACTATTATATTTCATCGCCGACTTTTATGGTTGATACATCTTTTCTTTTAGACAAATTACTGTAACTTTCAAAAGAAATGTTAATTTTTGGAATGGACGTCCGAGAAGTTTCTTCCCCTAACACTACGGTCTTAATCTTTTCAAGTCTACAGCCAACCGTTATCTGTTCTTCATATATAGCAATAATATGTATTTACTCAACACCTCACGAGATAAGGTTGTGACACAAGGTCGGTTTAATGTGTAGAGCCCAAGCACGTACACCCGGGCCCCCGCAACCGATACCTCTCTTTGCGCCAGAGAGAGGGATTGGCCTCGGGTAGCTGTTCCCCAGTGCTGGGTACCTCTCAGTATAATTTTCCTCAGTTGCGGCTGTGTTCTTCGACGGGGCAACCCCTGAACGCATTCTACTCGAAGACGCAAATGAGAGATGATAAATAAACGTGTTACAAACAATTCGAGAGCAGATCACACACCTATAGTAATAATAAGCACCTTTTTATGATTTTACACACTTACAGCAACTTTATACAGTAACCGTCTACTTTGAGCGGCTCTTAGGCCTTGCATCGTTTGCACAATAGAATACAAAAACAATCATTCTAAGTATTGCTTGGAAGGATTTATTAATTCTGTGATAAGTAGGGAGGAAATGGAAATCGACTTGTATATGGATTAGAATAATTTAGACAATACAGTTAATTGGAATTTACATTCCTTGGGATGAACAATGGTATAATATTCACTATATTATGTACATCATCTGTTTGGCTCAGTAAAAAAAAGAAAGAATATATATATATATATATATATATATATATATATATATATATATATATATATATATATAACAATAAAAAATATTAAAAAATTAAAATCTTCTGACACACTGGGTTGTAGATTAATATTCTTTCGTTTTTTCTTTTATTATTATTCCATTTAGATTCCTCGACTAGTTTCGGCCAAAATGACCATGATAGGAAGAAGAAATATTTCTGCTTGGTGGAAGCAGTAAACTACAGAAATCAGATTTTTTATATACAGATATATATATATATATATATATATATATATATATATATATATAGAGAGAGAGAGAGAGAGAGAGAGAGAGAAGGAAAAAGAGAGAGACTTCTTACGAATTTTGCACATTAAGATTGTTCGGTTGATTTACTTATAAAAGTCTTACTAATTAACTTATAGCAGAATAACACTGACATCTCATTTTAGCAGATATATTTACTAAAATTACACAAATATATCTTGAAATAGTAAAGAGTAAATTTATTTAATAAAATCGTCGTTGGCTTGAATCACAACCTCCAGACGACTTCGGAATCTCTTGCAACTCTTCTAAATGGTTTAAGTTGGTGAATATTGTCTTAATTCTTGTCTTCAGTTCATTTTTGGTGTTACAAAGAGTTGTGTGGCTTTACTCAACTGCGCCTCATATAATAATCAAGGAAGTGCTGTCTGGGGAGTTAGGTGGCTTGATATAAAGGGTGATGTGGTCACAGAAACTGTCTGACAGCCATGATTGGATTTTACTGCTTCTATGGCATAGTGTAGTGTCCTGTTGCTACACATAAGGGTCTTCCAGTAACCACCCTCTTGACAGCACTACCTCCTCAAGACACTTGATGTAAGCGTCCGTGTTGAGTCAAAAAGTTGTTTCTTAATTTATTTCTGAAGACTAAGACAAGCTTGCTAGTAGAGAATCCGAAAAGATCTGGGATGATAGCAGAGTAAAGTTTTCTCTGTGTTACCTTTTCGACGGCGTTTCCCAGTCTACTCGATCAGCCCTACTAAAGTACATTATTTACATTATTCGGACTATTGTACTCACCTTTGTCGCCATGTTTATTACAACGTTTCGGCCGTTGTACTCTCCGGCCTTCTTCAGGTGATTGAAATGTCGAACTGAACCATTTATTTCGCTCACTGGGGTAGACTTTTCTAGTTTCACGTGCCATGTTTAATGGATGTCAGTTATCAGTTCTCTCCTATTAATTTCCCTCTGTTCTCCACTGCCTTAATCGGGTATTGAACTCACACTCTTTGGGTCCTGTCACTGAATCTACCGAATCCATTTATCCACTGTGCCATGTGTCCTTGAGACCGAAACGTTGTAATAAATATGGCGACAAAGATGAGGACAATAGTCCGAATAAGGTAAATAGTGTACATAATACCTCATCTCAGAAATATAGACAGATACTGAAGAACCGAAACGTTGTAATAAATATGGTGACAAAGATGAGGACAATAGTGCGAATAATGTAAATAGTGTACATAATAACTCATCTCAGAAATATAGACAGATACTGAAAGGCTGAAACGTTGTAATAAATATGTCGATAAAGATAAGGACAATAGTCCGAATAATGTAAATAGTGTACATAATACCTCATCTCAGAAATATACACAGATACTAAAGTAGTTTGAAGTAGTTTGAAGAACATCCGTACAAACACGTCGTTAAATAGCTCAATCAGCAATTAACTTTTCTAATTGGCTAGAGAATATATTACAGGCCGTCCGGATGGATCACTTGTACTAACCACCAATAGTCTTTTCGTCTGATTGACAACCCCCCACCCCCCAAAAAACACCGTCTATAGGGCAGTAAATGTTTCAACACAGTATCTTGGATCTCATAAGGTCTTCTTTTGCGAATTCTTGAATGTTTATACGTAGCCTGTCAAAGACGGATTCTCAGATTCCAATGATGAGGTATAGCACCGGGTGGTCAAATTCGGAACTGATCGCATGCAATAAACACTGAAGCCTTGCTTTTTCGATTCTCAGCTACGTTGATGTTGGCCACGTCATATACAAGCAAATACCGACGAATTACGAAATATATTACAAAGAGATTTCGGTCCGAGTTTTCACTTGTTTGTCAAATGTGTTCCTTTAACCCTTTTGAGCACAGTAGCATCAATAAGTAGGTGAGGTAAAAATTTAATATAAAAATATGTCTACAAATAATAAATGTAGTAGCAAAAACGAGTACAAAAAAAGAAAGAAAAAATACACTCCTAAATAAACACTTTAATTTTCCTAATTGAGATACTCACATACAAAACATTACGGCTTGTGTCTCTTCCATCAAATATCATTTTCCTTAAAAACAGAAACATTTTTAGATCAATGGCATTAACATTTCTTCTGAAATTATTTAGTTGAAAAAACTAATAAAAGTTAATAAAAAAGATGACAGCAATTTTGACATATCATAAATGTAAAAAAAAAAATATTTTTCGTTTCTGTTAATATTTTTGGTGTTTTTACGGTTTTCAAAGAATATAATTTTGCTGGTATGATTTGCGATGCCATATATTCGGTAAAAGTTGAAAATTGCACTTCCTTAAGAAACTTTTCATTGATTGGTCACGGACATTCGTTTCTCAGTGAAATTCGGTTTGAGAAAGGGGATTAGTATCTATGCAGATTTCGATCAGAGTGGGATGATGAGGTGTCGTGGAAAAAGATAATTTTAATCAGGTGGAAACCATAGCAAATGCATTACTAAAAAAGAGATTAATATTTAATCGCGACAAATTCCATCAGGCAAATATGTAAAAGCAAATATTTTTGAGTGTCAAGGTGATTATTATGACGAGCTGATTAAATTCCTTGATAGAAAGATTCATCTAATGTGTGAATAGATTAAAACAAGAAAAAAAATCAATTGTCAGTTATTATAAAAATATTCGTTGTCTGGTGTATTCCATTGAGGAAAGATCAGCATAGGTTAAATGTCAGAAGTCTTTTTATAAATTTCTTTCTCTCTTTCGCTTTTCCTATACTATCTTTTCTAACGTTTTTCTTTTCTTCTTCTCTTTCAATGTTTTTTCATTCATTCTTTTACATTTGTTTCCATTTTTTTCTTAAATTTTTTGTTGGTATCCATTTTTTCTTTCTTTTTCGTTTATTATTCTTTCTCTATTTTTTCTTTTTGTTTTTTTTTTTTGCAGTCCTCTCTCTCTTTCTTTCTTTCTCTCTTTCTTTTTTGTTTTTTGTTTGTTTATTTTTTTGTTTGTTTGTTTGTTTGTTTCTTTCTTTCTGTTTTTGGTTTTGAATTTCAAATTCTTTCTTCCTTCCTTTCTTGCGGTTTATTGTTTTCTTTCTTTCTTTCTTTCTTTCTTTTTGTGTTTCGACATTTCTTACTTTCTTTCTGTCTTCTTTTCCTCCTTTCATTCTGTCTTCTTTTCTTTCTTTCTTTCTTTCTTTCTTTATTTCTTTCTGTTTGTGTTTTTACATTTCTTCCTTTCATTCTGTAATCTTTTCTTTCTTTTCCCGTTTTGGTTTTGTATTTCCCATTTTTTCTTCCTTCCTTTCTTTCTGTTTATTGTTTTCTGTTTGCAGTTCTTTCTTTCTTTCTTTCTTTCTTTCTTTCTTTCTTTCTTTCTTTCTTGTGTTTTTAAATTTCTTGCTTTCTTTCTCTCTTCTTTTCCTCCTTTCATTCTGTCTTCTTTCTTTCTTTCTTTCTTTCTTTCTTTCTTTCTTTCTCATATTTATAAAACTTTCCGCTTGTTTTCCGTATTTATATTAGATTTACGTTTTTCTTAGTCCCCCCCACCACCACTGAAACCAGCAACATCAATTATTGGTATCATTAGAGCAAGACGAAAACCGTCGACTCTTATTTTGCAAGGGGTTTCTCACTGAACATATTCTTACACATATTCTGTGATTTGGAAAATCTGTCTTCAAAATGGTAATATCTCTCGGTTCCAAAACGCCTGCCATCCAGCGACGTACACAAAAAAAAAGTCTAAGCGTCCTTTCATTAAATACGTCACTGATTAGCGAAGACGCTAGCAATTTGCAGCCTTTCTTCTTTGAATTACCCAGGCAGCAAATAATGGTCAAAATACGTCACACACGCAACCCCCAACGCGCACGTACAGATGCATAAGCCTTTGGCCACTTTAAACTACTGTATATTTCTAAACATTCAGCTGCTTTAAACAATTGTAAATCGACGTTTCGCATCACGTTTTCTCCAGACACAGCAGGCACCGCACTGGCCTCATTTTCATACCTAATTATCATATGATGTAGCAGGAGTTTTGTATGAAAGAGAAAGATGTTATGATACTCGTTAAAGTTTTCGTTCACCTCATGTAAATCCAATCACACAGGTTTAAAAACAGAAAAATATCTCTAATAAATGTTTACATAATTTTCATTTCAGGAAGCTATTGATGTTAAGGATATTTCGTATGCCTTTCTAAAACTTGAAACATTGATCCGAATCTGGGAAAAGAAGCATACAAATATTTCCTTTTTTTCACGAGTACCAGATACTATTTTGTTTAGCTGATATCGCATAATATATCACATTGACAAACACTTGACTTCTATTAACATTTTAAAAAATCAATTTAACCCAAGCAAGGCGATAAAGCGACTAAATAACAAATGTAAAAGGAATTGTGAAAACGGTATTGAGCAGAAAGGACAATAAAAGAACAGCATTCAAGGAGACAGAAGATGACGATTGATGTTGCATTTAAAATTTTTGAAAATCTTAGTTGAGAGAATAGGGAAAAGACGGAAGAGAACAGGTAAGAAGTGCGAAACTATTAGAAGAGGAATTACAGTTTCACTTTGCAATTCAATTAGTAAAACGATGAGACCGAGCAGCCAATCTAGTACTGCGCTTAAATTTGTGAACACAAAGTACCAAAGATGAAACCTAATTATTAAAATTGCCATGAAAAAGATTACAGAACAGACACATAGAAGAATGAACACAGGGAAAATGATCGAAGCCGAGATGCCAAGTCAGTGTATACTTGCTTGTTTCAGCGTGAAAATTTCGAGAATTTTCATTTCAAGTTATACATATTTATTTTATGGTACAAGTTTTAAATTATTTATGTAGCCAATATAAGGTGAAATTGATATGGTAACAGATACTAAGTAAAAATTAAAAGAATATTTTATTTATTTATTTAGTTAATTTTTATTGATTTTTAATCATTCCATCCCGTGCAAGGTGATAAAGCCGCTAAGCCGCAAAGAGGATTCTGAGATTGTAAAAAGACTGAGAAAACTTTATTGAGTAGAAGCAACAATGAAAGAACATGTTTAAAAAAGACAGAAGTGATAATTGTTATTGCATTTAGATTTTGTGAAGATCGTAGTTGACAGGAAATCAAGAATAGTGTTCCACAAGTAAGAAGTGCGAGGGAAGAAACTATTAGAATAGAAATTGCGGTTACATTTAGGAATTTCATTTAAATTCATAAAGTCGAAGTAACAAAGCGGTAAGCGCGTCAAAACAATCACCATGAAAATAGTTCTAGAAAAGGTGATATTAAAACGGTGAGAGGGCGACGTTAAACCGAGATAACAAATTAGGACCTATAATATTGCAGGTTCTTTGGCTTATTCCAATAGATAGATCAATCGTCAGACTAGATATGGCGACAATATTTAATGCACGGACAAATGGTAGATTCATAAATGGGCAAGACAGATTTTGGTGAGAAAAACTGTCTAGCATGTCACAGTGAAGCATCTTTGCGAGCAGCAGACTTAGCAATTGACCCGATCAATGATGTTTAAACCAGGGCTCGGATGCGTTGACGCATTGATCGGCCAGGCTTATTGTGTTTCACACTGACAAACGTCATATTCTTCTCAGACTGGAATCAACAGCTCTTTCTGCAAATGAATGCTGTGGGTTCTATTCAGTTTACCGTGAAGCTTAACCTGGTTCACTTTTCATCTATTACCATCAGAAACACCACAAAATTCACTTTTTCGTGGTGTAATATATATATATATATATATATATATATATATATATATATATATATATATATATATTCAGTCTTCTTTCTCGTAGACCAGTTGCCATCCAAGGCTATATGTGACGTCCTCGGTGTCGCTGCGCCAAATGTGACGTCTGCCTGGCCGCGCCCGCCGTGATGTCCTGGTCGCAGCGCCAATTGTGACGTCACCCCGTCTGTCTCCGCGCCGCTGTGACTTGGTATTGGTCGCGGCACCAGATTCTTCCTTTTTCATATAGGTATCTCACCCAGTCACTTCAGGGGGCGTCAACAGGTTTCCCCTCTCTCTCACAGTGGCATCTCATACCGATCCCTTCAGGGGACGTCAACAGGCCTCCCCTCCTTCTTCACATGATTACCTTCGCCTAATGCTCACGCCACCATTCAGGCAATGGCGCTCAGCGGCGTGGGTGTGACCGGACTAGCCTCGGTTTAAAAATTCTTGCTCAAAAAAAAAAAAAAAATATCTTCTTTTTTCTTTTTCTTTTCTTTCTTTTTCTTCTTCTCGGCAACAACCCAATACAACCCGTAGTGTGGTCTGTTAATCTCAATTTTATCCTGAATGTCACCTGGGATTCATCACTCGGGACCTTCGCCAAACAAGTGGGTGGTCAATTGGACGTATTGCGCAACAACCAATTATTCGTTTCGATAAAATAATTTTCTTATCATAGCCAGCTCCTGACACAAAACATGTGCCTTTTCCAAACGACATCTCCGTAGATAGCTAATGGGCCAATCTTTTCTTCCTGGTGGTCCAGCGGACATTTTCCCGCGACCCAGTGCATGACCTAATTAATATTATCTCTCAGTTTCTTTTTCGTAGGTCACTTGCCGCCCTGAAACCTTCACCATTGCCATGGGCAGATTGGCTATATCTTATTTGGTGCGTCGTCATAAATTAAATTAAATCCGACACATCCGCGACCTTATTTCCTCGCTAATGAGAATAAAACCTTTTAAAAATAACATCGTCTTTTCGTGATTGATTCTTATCACCTAATTTTAATTCTCACCTTTTTTCTTTTTTTTCACGCAACCCTAAATAGTGTCGCATATAGAACCCAGGTTGTCCTGCTATTTACTCATAGCTGAAGGGAGAAGAAGAGGATTCACACCTTTCCCAACGGTATTAGCACGTAAGTGAATGATATGAATTCGACTGGAATTCGAACTCGGCTCTCCGATTCCTCAATCCAAGCTGCTATCCATTACGCCACCGTGCCTCCTCTATTTGAAAACTGCGGTGGGTCGTTTGAGGACCCTCTGGCACGTAGTGCCCCAGGTCTCTGTATTCAGCCCTTCAAAAAGTGTGGATGGTCCTGCAACGAAACCTTCATCACTATAATCAAATCTCATGTGCTGTTGTCGGGCTGTCGGTTTCTTAGGAACCGATCTGCTTGACCCTCATACGTCGAATTCGACGGGAGAGTCGAGTATATATATATATATATATATATATATATATATATATATATATATGAAGAAATATAGTTTTTTAGGTATGCTAAATTTACGGGGATAAAGTGCTCAATATCAGAGCCAGAGCGTATGTAAATATAAATATAAAAGTGAAAATTGAAGTCAACACTCAGAGGGGACAGGCTGTTTCTTGCTAGGCGCAATCGTCAAGTCGACAGAGGATTGCGCCTAGCATGACACAGCCTGTCGCCTCTGTGTGTTGACATCAATGTTCGCTCATATATATATATGTATATATATATATATAAATATATATATATAGGTTTTGATGTACGACTTAATTTTCGCATGATTATTTACTTGCATGTGTATGTATGCCAACACGCGCGTATGCGGTTGCATATATCTGGTGATTTGATTTATCTAACTCTATAGATATACCTATATCTATACCCATACTACTCTCTCTCTATTAATTAAATGCCTATAATTAAGAATAGAAGCCATTGGTTTATACCAACAGATTTCCATACTTAATACTTCTCGTTTTCACTCTCGCATGGTCATGTGTGACGTAACGAGCTGCGACGCGATTTTTGCTTCCGCGTCTCGTATACACGAGTTAGTCGTTGCTTTGAAATTTTTCATTCAGCAAAAACAGACTATCATTATTGTTTCGTCCGTGTATTGGTTGATATATTGAAAAGTAATTGTCATCTTTGATAATGGCTTATGTAAGCCGAAAGCTTAGATTGGATTTAAACATGCATCAATATGGTGATTTCCTTTCGTCTTTCAATGATAATATTATTAAGCTTATCAGACAATATGAAAGGAACTTACTTAAAATAAATAGACAAAACTTGTCTATATTATTTATTGAAACATGCATCAATATATATATATATATATATATATAAATTTATTTAATGAAAAACAGACCACTTTAAGGTACCATTACAATAATTTATTTCACCAAATAAATTATTGTAATGGTACCTTAAAGTGGTCTGTTTTTCATAAAATATTAACTCTGTTATTCACATTGAGCTCTCAGGATTTCATCCTCCTTGGATTTACCAGTTTGGTTTACCAAGTTCTTCTTCATAAATATATATATATATATATATATATATATATATATATATATGTGTGTGTGTGTGTGTGTGTGTATGTGTGTTTTCTAAGAAATTAAGCGATTTAATGGATTTTACTTTCAATCCAACTCTATTTCTTATTATTCCCCAGGTTTTCTTAGTGTATACCCGTTTTTTAGTACACACGCCAATATTTTTGCGTATTCGGAAGACAGAAAAAAACGTAAAAT